ACCAAAATATTTAATATCCTCATAACTAACAAGATATTGTAAAAGTATATTAAATGAATATATAGTAGGACATTTTAAATTAAAGATTAATTGCCAATTTTAAATTATTTATTCTTATGTACAAAACATCAGAAAAGAAAATTGTACATTACTGTTCCTGTTTTCTGAATAAAGTTATTTCATATATTCAACCTACACTAAGCTGGTGTATGCTTTAAAAGAATTCTCTTGGTCGTGACTTTGTTGCTCTGAAGTTGTCACGGTGCAGGTACGGCCTAAATGGATCATCAGGATAATAACGGGTTTTCTTCCAATAACGGCACACCTGTTAGTCAAAAAGAGATCTCAAAGTGATTTCTGCACATATCTTTGTGTCCTTGTAAAACTAGTATTTATACATCACAACTTTACAATAAAGCTAAGAAATCTGTGAAACTATCAATTTTAACTTCAACTGTACTCACTGACAATAATCTGCAGAAATATTTAGTACAGTATATGCAATTTTCTTGTTCTTTTTTCACTTGGTATAATGCAATTATTGAACATTAACATGGCTTACCATTTTATCCAGCATCTGTGACTGTGTGGCATTACAAAATACATGTGTTTTTGCTCGCAATCGCTGTGTTTGCGACTTCTTCCACATTTTTTTATTTGCTCCCTGTCTAGCTCTGATCCACATACCTCGGCCTCCCCTGCAATAGATAACAGTTTTACAAAAATGCTGAGAAGGTGGTAGTTTCATTTGCTTAAGTTTGATTTCACTGACCAATGTTTATTTCAAGAGGAGGAGGGGAGGGGAGAGAAGGGGGAGAGAAGGGGGAGAGAAGGGGGAGGAGAGGGAGGAGGAGGAGGAAGAGGAAGAAGAAAAGGAGGAGGGGAGGTGGGAGAGAGGAGAAGGAAGAGGGGGAGGGAGAGAGGAAGAGGGGTGGTGGAAAGGAGGAGGAGGAGGAGGAAGAGAATTAGGGTGGGTGGGAGAGAGGAGGAGGAGGAGGAGAAAGAGGGGGGGGTGGGAGAGTGGAGGAGGAGGAGGAAGAGAGGGGTGGGAGAGACAAAGAGGAAGAGGGGGGGGGGGTGGAAAGGAGGAAGAGGAGGAAGAGAAAGAGGGTGGGTGGGAGAGAGGAGGAGGAGAAAGAGGGGAGGGGGGAGGGGGGAGAGAGGAGGAGGAGGAGGAGGAGAAAGAGGGGAGGGGGGGGGGAGAGGAGGAGGAGGAGGAGGAGAAAGAGGGGAGGGGGGAGAGAGGAGGAGGAGGAGGAGGAAGAGAGGGGGGGTGAGAGAGAGGAAGAGGACAAGGAAGAGGGTGGTTAGGAGAGGAGGAGGAGGAGGAGGAGGGGATGGGAGAGAGGAGGAGGAGGAGGAGGAGGGGATGGGAGAGAGGAGGAGGAGGAGGAGGAGGGGATGGGAGAGAGGAGGAGGAGGAGGAGGAGGGGATGGGAGAGAGGAGGAGGAGGAGGGGATGGGAGAGAGGAGGAGGAGGAGGGGATGGGAGAGAGGAGGAGGAGGAGGAGGAGGAGGAGATGGGAGAGAGGAGGAGGAGGAGGGGATAGGAGGAGGATGGGAGAGAGGAGGAGGGGAGGGGATGGAGAGAGAGGAGGAGGAGGAGGAGGAGGAGGAGGAGGAGGAGGAGGAGGAGGAGGATGAGGAGAAGAAGAAGAGAAGAAGGAGGGGATGGGAGAGAGGAGGAGGAGGAGGGATGGGAGGAGGGGATGGGAGAGAGGAGGAGGAGGAGGAGGAGGAGGAGGAGGAGGAGGAGGGGATGGAGAGAGAGAGGAAGAGGAGGAGGAGGAGGAGGGGGATGGGAGAGAGGAGGAGGAGGAGGGGATGGGAGGAGAGGAGGAGGAGGAGGAGGATGGGATGGGAGAGGAGGAGGAGGAGGGATGGAGAGAGGAGGAGGAGGAGGGGATGGGAGAGAGGAGGGGAGGAGGAGGATGGAGAGGAGGAGGAGGAGGAGGAGGAGGAGGGAAGAGGAGGAGGAGGAGGAGGGGATGGGAGAGAGGAGGAGGAGGAGGGGATGGGAGAGAGGAGGAGGAGGAGGGGATGGAGAGAGAGGAGGAGGAGGAGGGGATGGGAGAGAGGAAGAGGAGGAGGAGGAGGAGGGGATGGGAGAGAGGAGGAGGAGGAGGGGATGGGAGAGAGGAGGAGGAGGAGGGGATGGGAGAGAGGAGGAGGAGGAGGGGATGGGAGAGAGGAGGAGGAGGAGGGGATGGGAGAGAGGAGGAGGAGGAGGGGATGGGAGAGAGGAGGAGGAGGAGGAGGAGGAGGAGGGGATGGGAGAGAGGAGGAGGAGGAGGGGATGGAGAGAGGAGGAGAAGGAGGAGGAGGAGGAGGAGGAGGAGGAGGAGAGGGGTGGGAGAGAGGAGAAAAAAAGGAAGAGGATGAGGAAAAGAGAAGGAAGAAGAGGAGGAGGAGAAGGAAGAAGAGGAGGAGGAGAAGGAAGAAGAGGAGGAAGAGAAGGAAGAAAAGGAGGAGGAAGAAAAAGAGGATGAGGAGAAAGAAGAGATGGAGGAAGAGTAGAAGGAAGAGAAGGAAGAAAAAGAGGATGAGAAGAAGAGGGGAGGGGAGAGGAGGAGAAAGAGGAAGAGGGGGGGGGGGAGACTGAAGAGGAAGAGGGGGTGGTGGGAGAGACAAAGAGGAAGAGGGGGGTGGGTGGAGGGTTGGGAGAGAGGAAGAGGGGGGTGGGTGGAGGGTTGGGAGAGAGGAAGAGGGGGTGGGAGGAGGGTTGGGAGAGAAGAGGAAGAGGAGGAGGAGGAGGAGAAGAGGTGGGGTGGGTGGATAAGAGGAGGAGAAAAAAAGGAAGAAGAGGAAGAGGGGAGAGGGTGGGAGAAAGGAGGAGGAGGAGGAGGAAGAGGGAAAAGAAAGAACTTACCAATCCAGTCTTTTAAAACGTTTCAAAACGGCTTGCACACTCTTGCGCTTGCCTTTCTGCAATGACCACTTAACAACAGTCCGTGTTTGAGAAGCTGATGTGGCTGGTGTGGGCATCAGGAGGCTGGGAACTCCTGCAGGTATTACAGGTTTTGTGGCAAAAAGACTGAAAAAATACGGAAAAATATTTATTAGTGTCAAACCAAAAAAGGATTAGTGAAATACATAATGAAGTAGTTACAGAGTTAGAATATAAAGCTCATTGCTGCAAATATGGCAAACTAACTGAAACATAACTTAGTGAACCAAATGTACCTTGATATCTTCTTCGTAATCAATCCATTTCTCAAGTGCGCTGTGTGAAGCTGGTTTGCCTGATACAATGATGGTGAATTTAATCTAATGCAGGGCAGAGGTGATGATTTACACATGTTTGTTGCCACTAATCTGCCATTTGTGAAGGCTGCTCTGCTGCATGCTGCAGACAGCTGTGAGACTGACCGCAGCATCTGTATGGGAAAGGGGAAAAAATATTTGATGCCTTATATAGTGTCTTGATTCACCCTCCTGTTTATGTAAATAGTATTACATTTGAGGGAGAGGGGAGAGAGGAGTTAGAGAGGTTTCCCTTCACCTTCTAATATTAAGGCTGCCAAACAAATGATGTCACCACTGCAACCATTACATGATATCATGCTATCCATAACCAAAGTTGCCTCTTATCCAAAATTCTCTTAGTAATAATGCAAAAACTATTACCAAATAAAGTGTTTGACAACCAGCATACATAAGACTTGCACAGGTTTGTTTTAGTTGTGTAAAATGGGAATATTCATTGTAAAGAGGAAAACCTAAAGAAAAGAATTCTTTCAAATTTACTGCTTAGCCTTTCCTTCTACAAGTCTATACAGTAGGAAAATAAAGCTTTAATGCTCCCAAAAGAGGCCTTCCTTCTAATTGAAATAGGTGTGTTCTACCCAATTTTTTCAGACTGCCAGAGCCTACATGTTCTGTAATGCAACAAAGTACAGCTGACCTTCACCTAGTATACCCTTTTGGTTAATGTTCCCATGAGCTAAGCACAGAGAAAGGGAAATGGACACTGCCATCTTATATCAAATGTATAAGATGGAGCTATAGATAATGCTACATTAGGAACTCTTGTTGTGTGAGGGTGTTGTGGATTTAGTCCCTCAGCAGTGACAAATAGAGGACATTTTTGTCATTTCTCAGTAAATATGAGGAAGCTGCAGATGTACCTGTGTAGCTTAAGACTATTTTATATGCTTTACAAGATGGCAATGTCTATTTCCCTCTATCTCAGTGTACTGCTCTTGGTAACATTAACAAAATATTTGCCTTAACAAAATTATTGTGGCAATTGGCATGATGTGCTAATGAAGCCAGGGTACAGAGGGCTTCCCGCACCATGTCTAGGGAATAAATAAGAGGCAGGAAAGGTTAGGTTTGGATTTAAGGGTTCCCATGATACCCAAATCTGATTTTGAGACTTTGATTTCGGAGGATGCGCCACTCGTTACCATTTCCTGTCCTTTTCTTCACCCAATTAATTTTAGTGGTTTATTGGTCTTTGCCATAGCGCCTAATGACGAAAGGGCACCAGTAACTGCGGTGAATGGGCAGACATATTAGTACGATTTGTCTGGAGTCATTTTTTAATATGCTTTGCTTTCGCTGGTGAGGTAGCTGTTCATATCATTACCTCAATTACAACATTAAACACCTACACCGGAGAATTGCTCCGTCACACATGCAGTGTTTCTACTTTCAACATCAAGAACTTTTTCATATATTGAGAAATATATATCTTTTATCTGAAACTACAACCAAATACTGTTTTTTTTTTGTTCTTCACTAAAAAGCTCCCCTTTAAAAAGTCAAACTTACTGTTATTTATCTACTCGAGTCTTGTGTTTACCAGCAGCCGTCTGCAGTCCATTGGAGTACACGCCCAAACATTTTTGTTTACGTAAATTCCAACAATGGATTAGATATGTAATGGGTATCATTATCATTTGAATCCACGGATGAAAAAAAAAGCCCTGAACCGCCCAATATACTAATATGGAAACCTTCACGTTGATTATAGAAAAAACGAGCGTAAAGGAAATCCGAATGACAACAAACGAGTCTCAGTCCTTCATGAAACTCTGCTCACTGAGGGACAGGCGTTGCATGTGGGCTTTCGAACTATTTTCAGGAAAAAGAAGACGCCCTTATAACGCGAGAGGGCCGTGGTATTATGGCCTCTCAAGCTAATAGTAGAGGTAAATGATGAACATTCTGTCGGGAATTGGGGAAATTAAATGGGGAAGCTGATATGTAGATATAGGTGTTCTGGAGAGAGACAATCGCACGGGAGTTATCATGTAATTATATTGGTTTTGTTCTACCTCAACGTAATTCCATTGAAACATACTGTGATGGGTGTGAAAGGCCTGCAATCTCTCCAAGCTGATAGTGGCAATATAGAGCTTGAGCTATTATTACAAACTTGTCAACTTTTGGCCTTTTGTCAGAGTAGGGACAGGGTGCGGAGATAGATGCAAGGGTGCCTTCCAAACAGCTACTGTTTCTGTAGTTCTTGTCGTTAGTTTGGAGCATTTGTTGGATAGAGCCTACTTTATGTTTTTTCTTGTATGAGAGCGATACTATGGTATGGCTTCTAATTTTATAAAAATGATAATTCTTTACAGTCCAGATGCACTTGCCAAAGGATAAGACCCCAACTCCACATCACAAGCTTTATTCAATAAACTAATCTGTTGTGACTGGAGCACTGCTCTTGAAATTTATATAAAGAGTAAATGATAGAATATATAAAAGTTTGGTGGGGTTTTATAAATTGGCATTTTAAAAATTATGACTCCTCACCACTGACAGATAGCAATGCTCAGCGTAAAATTCTAGAAGATTTGCAGTTGAAGAAGCAGATGATATTAAAACAGGGTGTATCCCAAGCACTGAGTGCCCCAGCCACGTCTCAGCAACCCACTGTAAGTAACTATGAGTATCTGATCCAGTCTAAAGAAAAATGCTTGGATTTAATTAATGTACAGAAATCCAAAGTCAATATGAAAAAAGCCCATAAAATAAGTAAAATATAAATAATGCCCATATTGTAATTAAGAGTATGTACCATACAGCTGATTACATACAGCTAACATCTTAGTTCTAAACTCATTTTGGAAATTTTCCTTGTGCTCTTCATTGTTTTGGTAAGACATATTAACTATATAAAGTCATCATTATCATCTCATTATTATTAAGATGATGATGATGATAATGATTGATGATGATGATGATGATGATGATGATGATGATGATGATGATGATGATGATGATGATGATGATGATGATGATGATGATGATGATGATCATCATCATCCATCATCATCATCATCATCATCATCATCATCATCATCATCATCATCATCCATCATCCATCATCCATCATCCATCATCCATCACCATCACCATCACCATCACCATCACCATCACCATCACCACCATCACCATCACCATCACCATCATCATCATCATCATCATCATCATCATCATCATCATCATCAATCATACTACTACTTCTACTACTCCTACTCCTACTCCTACTCCTTCTCCTACTACTACTACTACTAGTGAAGATATCACAATCCATTTATATATAAAAGTTTCAGGAGTATCAATACTTTTTCTCAACAGGGATGGTCCTCAGGAACAGACGGACACATTGCTGGTAACAGTCAACGCTCCAGTTTACTTCAGGCAACATCATCAAGCTTCGGTTATTTTATTCCTCAAGACTCCTCTTTTGGAAATTTCATCTTGCCAGTTCTACCACGGCTTGAACCAAAATGAAAGGCTGTGTGTCTGTTACAAGGAAGAAGTGACGCTCATTTGAAGTGCAAGTTTGTAATAACAGATTCATATTCTTATAATAGTGTAAACATAAATTGCCTGTCAGAATGATGAAACTGAAGGAGCTAGAATCTTGGCTCCAAGACATTACTGGGTTTGAAAATCCAAAGGTAAAACTAGAGCAGTATGAAACACCAGCTCACATTGCTGCACGGATGGTTCATACGATGGAATCCTCATTTGGAGATCTGCAGGGGAAGGTTGTAGCGGATCTGGGATGTGGGTGTGGAATGCTGGCAGTTGGAACAGTCATGATGGGTGCCTCAGTCACTTTTGGGTAGGTAGTATTTGTGGTATTGTGAGTTGCATTAAGTAAGATTCTCTCTGAAGATCTGTTTGATAATCTAGTAGATAGTTGGTTTAGTAAAAAAAATATTAGCAAAAGAAAAACAGATGTATACAAAGTTTTGTAATTTGATTCAAATAAACTGAGTCAGCCTCTGGCATTAATTAATTGATACTATTGGTTAGAATTAGAAAAAGTGAAATATACTGCTTGTAAATCTTGTTAATATTATATAAAATAAAATAAAAAATTAATTACAGTTGGTATGACTGGAATATTATATTGTTATTTACAAAATTGTGGTTCTTAAAGATGTTTTAACTTTCCAGCTTTGACATTGATAGTGATGCTCTTCAGATCTGCCAAGAAAATCTAGAGGAATTAGAGGTCCCGTCCATAGAGCTAATACAAACTGATGTCAAGTTATTAGCCGGAGATCAATCAAAATTCCACAAGTTTTTTGACACCGTTGTCTTGAACCCACCCTTCGGCACCAAACACAATCATGGTTCAGACATGGAATTTCTCAAAGTGGCTTTAGATATTTCCAAAACAGCAGTGTACAGCCTACATAAGACTGCCACAAGAAGCCACATAACAAAGAAAGCAGCCGACTGGGGCGTTAAGATGCAGGTTTTGGCTCAACTACGTTATGATCTCCCAAGTACCTACAAGTTCCACAAGAAGAAGTCAATTGATATTGAAGTTGATTTTATTAGATTCTCTCATAAATAGATCCAATATTGAGA